TGAATTAACAAAGCACTAAGGGAAATGAATATTCACGTAGTAACTGACTTGGCACAAGTCTATGATCTTTTATAGTACATTCAATTAAAAAAGAATAGAATAGAATAGGGCAGCAGGCCCAGAGTTTCCTCGCCACCTTACTTCTACCACATTGTGTGTATACAGACAGACGAGGGACTCGTCCTGTCCCGGCTTCATTTTCTTACATTTACTCATGGTTTCGAAGACAGATTTTTTTTTTACCCAGCTGATGAATCAGACCTCAAGATATTCTATATCTCAGCTGGTTAAGGTACAAAATGAAGAAATCAGAACCACTTACAAGTTTTTGTTTTTGTAAGATGGTTCTTTTAAGTCTCTGAGAGAAACTTCTCGTGAGATTCTGGCCCTGGAGATGAGCACTTAATACTAAGTGCAGCCCCTTTTAAAGAAACCATTTTAAAAAGTGTAAATCCGTTTTCTCTGCCTACACACTTTAATAGTGATGAACTGAAGGAGGCAAGGAAATATTTCAGTATGTTCTGACTTGGTTCAGTGTATCATACCACATCCCCAGCTCACAAAAGTATGAGTCTGCGGATCTCAGTGCTCGCATGGAGCTCAGTATCCCACTATAATGTAGGAGGTAACGAACTTCTAGATATAAAAGCAGTGCTCTCCAGAAAAGTGTTGTGACCAGGAGAGAATATGCAGATTTCTGAGTCCCAGCGGAATGCTGGGAGTAAGTCGCAATGAGCGATTGCCCTTGCTGAAAGTTGGGTCCCCACCCGGACCTAGGTGAACAGAAATGGACATAGCCTTCTACACACTTGAAAAGTAATCCTCTGGCCTTTAAAAAAAGTTGTACACTTATTGAGTCATTCTCAATACATAGCTAGAAGAAAATAAATGGCTTTTTTCCTTATTTACTCTAAAAACTAGTTTAAGAAGTGAGGATACTATGACGTTAACTAAGATAAGGGGTGCTGGGAAGGGAAAGTGGGAGAGCATTTCCTAGCGAAGTCCACTAATTTTCAGATTAGAAACATGCTAAACTGGCAAACTCTACAACCACAACATACTTTATAATACATGACGTGACTAGAAACTAACCAGCACAGCTCTGAGCTTAGAATTAAAGTACAACTGCATATGGCAAATCTTAAAGCAGGTTTTAAAACAGATTTAACCAAAGCGTACAGCACAAACACTCCTATAACAGCCACATCACAACCACCCGGAGAGAGTTTTTTTGCTTCTAATCGGTCTGTCATATGCCAATATTTGTAAAGAGCTATTAAATGCCTTGAAGAAAAGACAATGACATTTTCTTTTGGGAGACACAGCTAGAAGCCATGGATGCCTTTGAGCAGTTGGTAAAAATCATGCCAATCTGCCAGGCTGCTGCTTGCTTCTAAATATAGGCCTCGTGGCTCGATGAAAGATTTTCTCAAGATGCTGACCTAGAATTGAAGTTCTCAAACACCTGTAAAGCCCCTCTGGTCTCCTCCCAAAGGATGTACCTTGTAGCAGGCCCAAGACAATGAAAACAAACAGGATTCCAGGGATTCAAAAAGAGTGGTAGAAGATTCTTGCAGAGAATGTGATACTGAAGAGTTCATACCCGCCGTTTCTCCGGTAGCCTGGAGAGAACAAGGACAGAGCCGAGCTCCGCAGAGCAGTGAGCATGGAATCCAGGAGCGCAAGGTTTCTCAGCCTCCCCACCACTGACATTTGGGGCTGGATCATTCTCTGTTTGTGCGGGGATCCTGGGGATGCAGGATGTTCAGCAGCATTCCTGGCCTCTACCCGCCAGATGCCAGTAGCTCCCCCCACCACTGCCGGTTGTAACAACCAACTATGTCTCCCTATATTGCCAAATGTCCCAGGGAGGCAGAACCGGTCCTGACTGAGAACCACTGCCACAGAGACAGCTCACCTGAGCTCCTCAGCATGGAGCACTTTTGATCTGGGGCCCCGCAGAGGCTAACCCTCAGACTGAGACCAAGCGAGGTTCAGTCAAAGTTCATTCAGAACTTCCGAGAAGAAAAACGAGGATGGTGGTAAAGCAAAAGTAGAAAAACAGAGAAACGGAATTTCTTTTCAAAAGGAGAACGGCAATACTTCCGTAAAACAAAGTAATCCATAAGCCTTCAATTCAGCGGTATTTTGTCCGTTAGGAAGTTAGGGCAGAGAGCAGAATGTGAACGTCGTAAAATTTCCCTTCCTAAGGAAAATGCAGACTTTTGTGACTTTAAATCAAATCCTTCTTATCATGGATGGCAATTTTTGTGAGGTCAATGGTTCATCAACCAGAGGAAAACAGCAGTTAAAAGCTAAGAGAGGGCTCATTAGATTTGAAAGAAAACTTGACCATTCCCCTTGGCGAGCAGGAAGAACTATACATGCTAGAAATGCGGATTGTAGTTCACTTATTATAGCTTACTGAGGTCAATGAAAAGGCAGAATGGACAAAAGCGGAGACGAGGATAAAAGAGCTACCTCAAAAACACTAGTTGAAAACACTGTAGATATTTTCTGGCTCAAATCTGGGAATGTACGAAAAGTATGTATTGACTCTTCATCAGTTAGGTTTACTTTGCTCTAGGTAGAAGGCAATTATTCTAGCCCTTCTTTGAAGAACCATCATGAATATAAATGTTCTGCAAACATCTGAGATCCCAGTGTTAGCAAGGATGAAAACATGGGAAACCAGCCCCTAGGTGACAACGAGCCTCAAATGCCACGGCATGGCAATGTGACTGCGCAGTTCCTAAGCGCACAGCACAGTGAGAAGTCTTTCCGGAGGAAAAAAATGTAGTTTCTGGTTTGCAAGGAGGGGGGATACAAGGTACAGATCTAGTAGGAAAAAGAAGAGTTACACACCCTTTTAGAGTCATTAGTATCCAGGCAAAAACTGCTAAGGGTTCACGTCACTTAAATAACTGTGCAGCTTTGCCTGGGAAAAGCCAGAATTCAGAGCTACTTGAACAGTACTGAACTGGAGAAAGAAACAAGATATAAAAAGAACCGAAGAGCATGCAAACTATTGGTTTGAATCAAATCGTTTTAATGATAGTACCCAGTTGAGTTTCATTTTAGTGCCTATTACACTTATTAAAATCAAATAAAAAGCACCTTAAAATGACCTCTATATATAATCAATACACATCATTATAGTAGTTATATAAAAATGTAATATGCACACAATTTAAGCTTCAAGGAAACGAAGACCTTTTCTTTATAATCTTTATAATCATCAGAGCTATAATTCTCGATGTCTTGGGGGAGGTGGACAGTAACTCAGCACATTTCAATTATCACTCACTTGATTCAGGGGCTGATCCTCTCAGAATCCTGGGACAAGTAATAAATATTGAGAAATTACCCCTTGAAGGGGTGGGGGTGGGTCTTTAAAAATATTATTGCTAAGAGACTACTTCCAAAAATCGAATTCTCTTGATAGATGATAGTGAGGTGATTTCTGTCAAGAATGGCCCAGAGACACTGGGCTGTAACCCTTGTTGGCCACAGGCCTCGATGATGTTTGAGAGTAACTTGGGAGTCGAAGGAGATCAAATGAGGGAAAGAAGTCCTGTTCTGACCACATGCGTACTGATGTCCATGATAACCTTGTTATAAATGGACAGTCCCAGGAAGAAAGAGTGAGTATAGCAGTTTTCTCTACATCTGCAATTGCTTCAGGAGCCTTGTAAATACACTGCAAACAACAACAGCAGAACATTTGGAAATAGAAATGCCACACACGGATCTCCCGCCCCACCAGCCAAGAGTCTGCGGCATCGTGCACAGGACTCAGGAGCATAGAGTTGGTTTGCGACCGCGCAGCCTAGGAATGTTCACGGGCAAATCTTTGGTCTACACTCTACACGAACGCTAAGGAGAAAAGCAGATTCTCTCAACAAAGACCCATGAGTAACCCTGGATCTATTCTCCCCTCAGGTGCAAGGAACGTCCCTGGATGCGAACAGGAGCCGACCGTGAAGACAGAGACGAGGCCTGCTAGAGTTCTCACTGGCCTAACCGACTTTCTCGCCTATGGGTTCGGGAGGAGATGCTGCATCTTATCTGCTACCAAGGATCCCGTCTAGAGGCTACGGCGGGGCCTGCAAGTTGAGCGCGGTTCCCACTGTCAGTCACACGCAGCCGCGATTCAACTCCCTTGATTAGAAGTATAATACTCACTTCATATCACAAATGTATAAAAATATGGCAGATAGTGTCATAATGATACTTTCTTTAAGTGATTATATTTATAAAACAGACAGATATTTACCATATATATATATTTATATATAGAATAAAATACTCCTGATGCAATATATAAATGTTACTGTTTAGTTTTTATAGAAACTACTGTAGCTGTCCCACTGCTTCACAATGTTCCAAACAGCTCAAAATAACTTTACATTTAACATAAAAGGTATGATTAGAACAGTACAATATTAATTATAAATAAATGTTACAAATCCTATCAAATATGGAAGTTTAGAAAACAATTTAAGACATACAGTTAGTTCATCTGCTAACCCTTCAAAGGGATACTCTTGGATTACAATAAACCCCATATTTAGTTTAGGCCGGGAAAAAAAAAAAATCTGTGGTAAGGGCATCAGTCGACATGAATTTTTCTATCCCTTGCAGTACCAGAACACATCCTGGCTTTCCCAAGTTCAACAGGGATTGCACTAAAGCTGCAATGTACAGGGGAGAAATTGGCAAGAATGTCTTCTTCCTCAATGGCACACTCTATCCATTCTCACACAAGATCCGTGGGGACTGGTGGTCCCTAAGGAACTCCTGCGGCTCTAAGATCCCTGACTACCATTTGCGGCCGTGAGGAGCCGGAGGGCTCCACACATACAATATTGCACTCACCTTCATAAAGCTGAAAATACTGGCTGACCACCCCAGCCCAGCTCACTCCCCACCCCCCCCCCCCCCCACCCCCCCCCCCCTGGCTCCCCCACCCCCCCCCCCACCCCCTACCACAGCACACATTACAAGGCTGTCTCTTTTAAATCATTCAGATTTGGCATTCGAGACCGATTTGTTCTGTTATAGGGGTGCCCATTTGGCCCACTCTTGGCACCCAGCTGTTCAGAGTAGGAAGGCCCCTCTGTGGCACTCCGGGTCACAGAGGACACATGCCAACCAGAGTCCATCTGACCTGGCAGCTGGAGGGCTGGTCTGCCCTTTGGTGTGGGCTCCTGCCGGATGTTACTGCTCGCGCCAGAGGCCTGGCTCAGAGGGTGGATCCGAATTTCTGAGAAGGAATTTTTGGCTTGTTGAGTTGTTAAGGGCTGGAAGCGGGGGTCTGAGGAAGCCGGGTGATTTGAGGCTGAAGAGAGATGTAACAGCTTGCGCAGTGATTTTAACGGCTGGCTCTGAAAGAAAAGATGAGAGCGCATATAGGACTTAATTTAGAGTAGACTCGAAAGCTGGGAGAGACGGAGCACAGATCTGAGATGACTGCACGTAGCCAGCGGGGCAGGCACAGGGGAGGAGGGGCGAAGTCTAGCCTTAGCCTTATCTGTCTTTTTGTTCTTGTTCAAACAAAATCCAAGTTAGTTATCTTTAATGAAAAAACCTAGAAATCTAGAGAAGTCTAGAGCTGGTGTGGTGGCTGATCAAAGGCTCAGGCACCTTCTATCCGGCTGCATCCCATCTTTACAGGGGGGAATCTCATGCCTCAGCCAGCAGGAAGCAGCAAAAGGAACACGCCTCTCCCTTTTTGAGAAATCTTCGCAACAGCTCCATATAAACCTGCCACTTATTTTTTCACCATCCAGGACTCAGCCATTCAACCCTATCTAGCTAGCGGCAAGAGAAAACTGAAGAAATGGAATGTTTTGATTAGGTAGCAACATACTCGCCTAAAAAACACACACCCCCTTCTGTTCTGATCACCCCGATCTTCCCTTTCCCTTGACACTGTAAAATCTCAATGTTCCCTTTCTGTGCTTTTACTTTTTTCGGGGTGGGGGTAAGATCTGAGCACTGAAAAGTGAACAAAGCAGAGAAAAACAAGCAAAAGCCCTACAGACTCTAAATTAACGCAACGGACTCACAGGAGGCTTTGGATTCCTAACATGGGCTCACAGCTGCCCTGCTTGTCTCCTGGGTGGCTGCGGCCTGGATTCCACACATGTTGCACTGCGGAGGGGATTGTACTTCAAGGCAGAAGGGAGGGTCCTGGCAGCCACCTACCCCGCACTGGGCAACTCTTCTCAGGCGACTGCTGAACCACGGCTCCCCCACCAGCGAAGGGCTCACTCCCCTCTCCTCCTCTATGTAATGTGCGATGAGGCTTACCATCAGAAGCGGCATGTGAAAACACCCTGAAATTCAGGGCCCTCGACAGGGACCCTGCACTCAAGATGTACCCCTAGCCTCTGGCTACCAAGTCTCAAGGGCCATGCGTTTAAGGGCTTGGCAAAGTTTTAATAAAATGTTGATGATCTCAAGGAATACTACAAGATCTGAAGGATCAGATCACTGAAATCGAAGGGAAATTGCTTGAGAATGGACTCAGAAATTGCTCCTAAGGAAGCATCTGCCATGGCTATTCCAGGGTCTGTCCACAAAATCTCTGTGGTCCCCAGGGGAGGTGGCACAGCACAGTGTACATCCCAAGTGCTCCAAGTTATGTTTTTTGTTACTGAAACTGGTATGATAACACAATAAGACTCCTGGTGATTTTTATAGCCCTGACCACATGTGACTGTTGAGCAATTACAATAATTTGGGTCCAGCTAGAGATATAAAGTAACCTGAAAACAGCTTCTTAGCAAAAAGAAATGGCTACACAAGGAAGGTTCTAAAGCCCCATACTCTTTTTCATAAAACTGGGAAGAGAACATTAGGCTGTCACTCAGAGCCTTGTGCTCTTAGTTCGGATACATAGCCAACAACTTGGGTATCTGGTTCTCTACACCCTTTCTATCACCTTCCCTGCCCTTAGCCGGTAATATGTTAGAAGCAGAAAACATAAATGGTTGGCCAAATACAAGTGAAATTTGGGAATTCCCGTCAGTGGCTCTAAGTAATAGTTAAAGAAAGTAAACAACAAACCTATAAAAATAGACCCTCTTTGTCCAAATCACAGAAATCTGTGGCCATCTATAGGTATAAGCAATCCTAGAGCTCCAAAAGCTCATCAGGTTGTCAGAAATTACAGTACAGAAGCATACTAGCTTTATAAAAATTTTAGTATCATCAAAAACAAGTTAAATTATGTCACTGTACTCACTAAGGGATACTGAAAAGATGCAATATTACATTTCCAATCATAATAGTTGTCCAAAGGAGATACACCTCAGTTACCTCAAAAAATTTACTGATTCATTTTCTGTTTATCCCCATTATGGCAGATAAATGCAGTTATATAATATTGCATAATATGCAGTTCCTAATACAACTGTTTGATTTTCTATCAAAAACTGTATCAATTTCAGAAGCTTATTCTTTCAAGAAAGGTTATCATATCTGTCTTTCAAGGCCTAATTCGTATGCTGCCACATTTAACGAAACCTTCATCTTCCCACTACCTCTCACCGCCCCCTACATTTTATGGCATGCCTCACTTTTTACCATGAATTATGGTTATTTATAGATTTTCTCTCTCTCCCAGGACGTTAGCATTTATGGGCTGGGACCACATCTTCATTATTCCCCTTACACCACTCTAACAACTACCCGCTATCCTCCCCGACCTAGGGCTAGGTGAAGGCTAATGGAAGCTCACTTTTTTTCCCATTTGGACATGGGTCACTGAAACAAGATTCATCTGGACTCCCAAGATGCATCTGCTATTCACAGTGAGGGTATATCCTGAGGAGGCTCCCAGCCTGGTTGTAACACTAAGGCTGAATTCCTCAACCTTGCCCTCCTCTCAAGCGAGATAGTCACTGCAGAGTCTAAGAATCTAGGAGCGTTACAGGCACTACTCACTTGGGTCTGTAGATCAGAGATCTTCTCAGGACGCCACTCCTTTGGTCTGCTGCTCGGGGTGCTAGCAGAATGAATGGCTTTCTGTAATGTCAGTAGATCAGGGCCATCAGAATTGGGCACCTAGAGCAGAATATGGGCAAGGATTCAATAAGAACCCCAATAAGCCCTACTTAGCTATGCAACCACACCCAAGAGGAGAACAAAAGCAAATCAAAGGAAACCAAACCTCGACCCCACCCCCCCAATAAAAAAGGAAACCAAAACTCTCCCAATGTTCACAGTGCAAGTGATGCCAGTTAAGTTCTGCTTCCCTCTTAATAATTTTCCCTGTATTAGGAAAAATTGGCAGATGTCATGCAGCTTTGTTAAAACCTCAACCCTTAAAGCATTCCCATGCTGTTAGTTTCAGTCGCTGTAAGAGAGAGCAGTTAAGTTGGGCTGTACCAGAAACTGCTGTCGTATCCTCATCCATATTGCAGTTAGGTTATGAACCAGTTCAATAAAACAAAAATTTGCTCCTGCTGGGAAAATGATCCAAACACTGTATTTGGTGGTGCCCAAAGAAGCCTAGCAGGCTTTCAAGGATACTGAAGTGGGAGAAGTATGGTTTGAATCATATTCCCAAGACACCACCGAGTAAATCTGGGTCTAGCATTACACAGTATGAAAACCTGGAACTTTGTGCCACAAACTCCAGATGAATGCAATTGGTACTTTCACCGATTTTGGTGAACACAGAATAATGCCAAATGCCAAGCAAAAGCCCTGGCTTTACACTAAGTGACCAGCAAAAGCTAGAGCCAGGCGAGGAAAAAGCAAATCACCGACTAAGAAAAGTGGAGTCTGCTGGCTCACTCAATTTGGTCAATTCAACTTGGTTTCAAAGAACAAACTGCCAACCAAGTGTTAACAGACTTAGTGAGCCAAATGAAAAGACATGGTTAGTTATAAATGTTAATCAAATTCTCTACAGGAACTAAGGGATTTTATGAATGCCGTCTGCCCACAAGTGGCTAACCAGACAACCCAAACTAGCCTTTCACTAGTTTGTTTAGTAGCCTTTTAGGCTTCAACTTCCGTAACTGATTCACAAAATCCAGAATGGCAAAGAATTGATATTTTAGTAACTTTATGGAACTGGCTCAGGTACTTAACTAGCACAAAGAGAATATGACCTCATGAAAATACAAGACATGCTGTGGTCATCAGTAAAACAAGTTTACTGGAGCAGTGTGCAGGGCTACCGTACGTAAAAATGGGTACCATGGGTGGAGTGACTACAGGAAGCTTTTTCAAAGAAGAACTATGCTTTAAATGATTCTTTGAATTAAAAAGAGGAAAGAGGGATTTCTTGATGCTTGGATTCTCCCCGTTGGTGGAATCTGTCTGCAATATAAGATACAAATAAACTAATTGCAAAAAAAAAAAAAAAAAAGAAAAAAAAAAAAAAAAAAGAACAGAAAAGAAAAAAGAAAGAACAGAAAAGAAAGAAAGAAAGAAAGAAAGAAGAAAAAGAAGGGTATTCTTACTGAAACTCCTAGCCCTTGGGAGCCCTGATACTGTTCAATGTTAACGGTCACTTAAGGAAACTCTGTGCTGTGTGTGTACCTAGAGGAGTTCTGTGTCATTTCTCACCTGGACATGGAGATGCCAACAAAGTAAATTCAAAACCTGCAAAAACTTCAATGTATATAAAGAACATGCGGTCATGATCCTTACCTATAATGGGAATGCCTAGAAACCTACGTACGTCTAGTCACACTGAGCTTAGGAATAAGATTATTGTAAAGAATTGTGTTTAAAGAGCTACTAATGAACGTCAATCTTTTCCTAATTGCTAGAGAGGACTTCAGTGACTAAAGCATTGACCACGTGATCTGCCTATGGGGAAGAGGGGGAGAAGAGGATACAGCAAACCCTTTTCGACATGGTCAACTCCTGAACCAGAAAACATCACATGGTCTACCATCATGGAAGAAGCCTGGTTCTATGCTGTTAAAGAAATATTCACTCCAGGGAAAATATGTGGCACCATTCACAATACAGGTTTTCAAAGTGAAAAAACAGAAAGTTCAATCTTTAAATTGATGCACGATTACCAATTGAGATACTAACTAACTAGGGTACAATTACCAAGTTGGCAAAGTCACCATATGCTCTGAGGGCTTACGTAACTCTGGATATGGAACTGAAGCCAGATTTCCCAAGGCGGCTTCCAGATTTGCTTGAGTCAAAGCAGGCACCTTTGCAATACAGAATTATTTTTTGGCACCACTTTTCCCTGTTTTGGATAGCTCAATTGTTAGAGAACTAGCATATATATGAAGGTATTCAGATCACCTTGTATGAAGCCATTCAATTAAGATAGCCCATCGAAGGTTCCTCTTCCTACAATGGGATCCCGGGGAAGAGTTTAACTTACATCGCTAAGGAAGCCACAGGAGAGTTCCCAGCAATCAGGGGCCAGAGGCCCTGGACCGGCGATGGGCCTGCGGCAGGTACTGAGCCCGGGCCTGCTATTCAGAAGAACCCACCTCTAGCTCTCCTGACTGATCGTGTGACTTCGGGCAGGTTACAACTTGCCTGGGCAGTCCTCTATCCGTGAAATAAAGGTGTTACAACTAGATTTAGGACCCAGTGAGGTTTAAAAATGTCCTGTTTCTCTACATGCACTGGGCACATATTTCTTTCCTTCCTTCTTTCTTTCTTTCTTTTTTTTTTTTTTTTTGAGTTTTATGCAAAGGCCACAAAGCTTTAAATCTTTCTAAGCTGGTTTACCTAGTTTCCTTTTGCTGAGTTCTAGCAAGTGAAAAAAAGGTAACTTTAATTCTGTTCCAACGCTTACTTGAAGAAGGCAGAGTTGACGTCACATTAGGCTTAGGAGCCTGATGTCTGGTAAAATACAGAGAGCTCTTTGGAAATCTTACTCTACAAACCAAAGTCCTTAAAAAAATTTTTCTTCTAGGGTGGCTGGTGGCTTAGGCGGTTGGGCGTCTGACTCTTGATTTTGGCTTAGGTCGTGATCTCAGGGTTGCTGAGGCTGAGCTCTGCTTTGGGCTCTGGGCTGGTTGTGGAGCGTATTTGGGGTTCTCTCGCTCCCTGTGCACCCTCTCTCTCTCTCAAAAAAAAATTCTTTTTCTTTTAATTAAAAAAATGCAGAGGCACAACTTTTGATTTGTGAGGCTTAAAGCACTGTGGCCTATATAGAGATATTTTGCAGTTACTTTACATATGGAAAATGAAATGTATACAAACCTTAAAGAAGTTTGAGTGGAGAGGATGTTGGAGAATAATTATTTTCTTATTTGCCCTAATCTATACTATTTGAAAATCTAAAATTGAACCAGATCCTGAATAACAGAGTCAGTCAACATGTATACACTCAATTCATGCCCTGGTGAGCTAGGGACTTTAGGTTAAATGTTAGTCTAATGCAGACAGACATCAAAAGCCAAGTCTATACACAAAACACCTTCAATTCCTTGGTTCCTGCTACTTTCTTCCACTTAATTACCCCACAGTGGCTACAGACCTGAGGTTAAAAACAAAAACAAAAACCTCAAAATAAAAATAACAAGGGTTAGGAGAGATAGTCTAAGTTCAATGTTCATGATGGATAAATATGTTCTACAGACAATGATAACAGTTTTATTGTATTAGCACTTTAAATATTTTAAGCTTTTCCACTTTAATAAATCAGGTCTATTTTGTTCATCCCATCTAAATAATAAATGTAGCAATATTTGACTGAGTGGCATTTTGATGTGACATTTTGCTTTAAGTGAATTTCAGGTAGAGATATAGGCAGCTTTTTAAAAAACGTGAATGCTTCAGGAAATATTATGCAGCCATTAAAATGAAGATAATAAGATCAGTGTAGTAATATATATATTATAGGTATGTGTGATCGACAGATATACTATGAAAAGTCAGAATACAAAACTGTACAAGGATTATTATTATTTAAAACAAACTAAAAAACCACCTTCTTTCTACAAACATATGCATAGACTAAAAAGCTAGGAGGAAAAATACCAAAGTCCTAATGCTAGTTGTAATAGGGTAATAAGATCAGTGTGACAGGGTGATAAGATTAGAAATGACCATTTTTTTTCTCAATTTTTCTAAAAGGAAAAACATCAATTTCATAAATACGCAAGTGAAAGAATAATCTAGAAACATTATCTAGGAAGGTCTTTATTAATACTTCCAGAACATCTAGGACCTTACTTTGGGTATTACATTCTGTGCTAATCATCTATCTCATCTTTACTTACCACTGAGTCATAATCCTAGAATCTTTTTTCCTTTTTAAAAAATGAGAGTCAATCATGTATGAAGGAGAAATAGAAACAAAAGCGTTTAAAATAGCTGATTCAACACTGTCTGGCCCTGGAAGTACCATAAAGCAAAGGGGGAAGCAGGCCTCACGTGGGTGAAGAGTTTCCTGCTGGCCTAGAGGCCTGGCTTTCCCATGTTTCCTCACGTCACTAACCAGCAGGATCCTTGCTTGGGTGGTTCAGTGATGTGATGTGCACGGTTCCATGGAGCCAAACCTTGGTTCAGGCAGAGGGCTCCCAGGAGATTAGACTCGTTCCATTTCACAGTTCAGTCACAAGATAAACATGTCTTCCTACTAAAGAAAGCCCTGAAATGTCAAATACTATTCTCCTCTCTGTGATTATGCGGCCCAGAAATGCACTTGTCAACATGGCAACTGGAAAACCAGCCAGGGAAGAATAATGAATGATGGTTAGTTATAAATTTCAAGATTTAAGCACACAGCAAAACCATTTCCTAAGTTTTCACACGTGTTTAACCCCCAAAGAAAAAAACCCTGCAGTTTCATAGTTTCTACATGAATATAAATCCACATGGATGTTTACCGAGAGAGGTTAGTGCTCTCTCTCATCCAAATTAAATTTCTTCTATTCCTGGAGAGTCTGTGGAATCTAGAAAAGGCTCTGTGAGAGGAGGATAGTTGGATAGAATTTAGAAAGACACATATACAATGTACGCATGTCAAATCTCAGTAAGAAAATAATTCACTTTCATTGCCACATCCAAAATGTCAAGTACCCACAGACTAATGCAGACTCGTGTGCCACTGTATACAGAAAGTAGCCATCTACTTACTGTTTGAGATTTCTTCTTTTTCTTTTTCATTGACCTGAAAAAACCTTGTTTCTCCTTTTCCTTGAGTTGTTCGGAATGACTAATGTTTTCAGGACTTTTCCTAAATGGGAAGACATTTTTATCATATTGATCTTTCAATCTTTCTCCTGCCATTCTATGACAAGTACAATGAAAACTAAAAAATGCATGAAACCAGATTCAAACAGCCATGACAAATCAAGCACATAGGTAAAGAGCCTCTAAAAAGCACAGGGGGGACTGAATCTATCAGCCATGGTTAATGATTAGCCTTTGGCACAGCTCGCTTGAACTGGCCATTTGATCATTATTACAAATGATCTGGTAACTGCGCTGCAGAGTCTGAAAAGCACACAGTTTAAAGGATGGATGCCTTTTTCATAACCCTCCAAGGGAAATAGCTGAAACATTTTCAATATCTTTGTTTTTCTATTTACCTTTCTAAAACCAGCATGAGAAGTTCATAATTAGTGGCTTGCCAAGATACTGAACATAAAAAAACAAAACAAAAAAACAATGGTGCTATAGAAGCACTGTAAATAAAAGTAAAAATTACCTCAAACTGAAAAATCCCTTCATAAAAACCCTTTATCTATTTATTGGAACTAATTCGAAAAATAGATCCAGTAAGAACATGGACAAGATGAATGCTTCAATAAAAAGTACTCATGGAAAAAAAGCTTCTAACTGAAAATAACGGACAGCATTAAGCTTCATGCCACACTGACTCCATCAGGTATTTTAACACAAATAGGAGGTATTAACAGACAGCAAACAGAACACCGTGGCCTTATTAAGTTGATGACTCGTATGTTAACAAAGGTCCTGTATTACTTAATTTCATTTACAGTCTTTAAAAAGCAACTCAACTGGTGCTACTCTTCAAAAAGACAGATTCCATGGGCTCTATTTTAAATTTTAACATATGACTGTGCAAAACCATTTTCTCAAATGATTGAATTCCTTCTATTAGCTATTCCCTAAAATCAAGAGCCAAACATTAAAGGTGAGAGTTCATTCATATTTGGTGATTTTAGAACACGCAATGGTGATGAAGTTACTACAATATCTAAGAAAATAATGAGCAAGTAGCATTCTTGATGAAATCCATGTGGAAACAGTAAACATCTATATAAACTGTTACAGAACCACAGGCTAGAAAACACCACAAAGCTATCAAAAATAAATCAAATCTTCAAAAAATTTCAAGTAATCTAAAGGAATACAAATATAATACTAAGTGAAAAACTACAAGATTCAAAACTTGCTACATAAGGGGAGCCTGGGTGGCTCAGTGGGTTAAGCCGCTGCCTTCAGCTCAGGTCATGATCTCAGGGTCCTGGGATCGAGTCCCGCATCGGGCTCTCTGCTCGGCGGGGAGCCTGCTTCTCTCTCTCTCTCTCTCTGCCTGCCTCTCCATCTACTTGTGATCTCTCTCTGTCAAATAAATAAACAAAATCTTTAAAAAACAAAAAAACAAAAAACAACTTGCTACATAATATGATCCTAATTGTATTAAAAAGAAAAAAAAAAGATGGGTGCCTGGGCAGTACAGTTGGTTAAGCATCTGACTCTTGGTTTCAGCTCAGGTCATGATCTCAGGTCATGGGATTGAGCCCTGCTCAGCAGGGAATCTGCTTGGGATTCTCTCTCCTTCTCCCTCTGCCCCTCCTGCTTGTGCTCTCCCTCTCTCTCAAATAAATAAGTAAATCTTTAAAATAAAAAGGCATATATGTGTACACACACACACATACACACACACTTTTTAAAGGCAGGAATAAGGGCGCCTGGGTGGCTCAGTGGGTTAAGCCTCTGCCTTCGGCTCAGGTCATGATCTCAGGGTCCTGGGATCGAGTCCCGCATCGGGCTCTCTGCTTGGCGGGGAGCCTGCTTCCTCCTCTCTCTCTCTCTCTGCCTGCCTCTCTGCCTACTTGTGATCTCTCTCTGTCAAATGAATAAATAAATTCTTAAAAAAAAAATAAAAATAAAGGCAGGAATAAAACAAAATAAAATCTTAACAGCTACCATCTCTGGGTAGAAAGATTATTGGTGATTTACTATTTCTTCTTTTTAGTTTCAATATCAAACGTGTACTACAGATATAACAAAAAGGTTGTACAAACCACAGAAAATTTATTTGAAAACCCCAAAACTCAAGATCTAAGACAACAAGGGAAGAGACTGAAAAAGAGAGACAGATGGAGAGACAGATTAAAAAACAGGAAAACATGACTCTGTGAAGGAGCAATGATCATTTCTTCTTAAGTGTCTAGCCTAAAAGTTAATGGGAATACCAAGGAAGTAAAAATTGGGACTGTAGGCCCAAGTGGTCCTGAAACTCATTAGGACCTACAATCATTGACAGTTCCAAGTTCTGAAGTGAAAAGTTTCATAATATAACACAACCAATAAAAATAGGTAGCATTAGAACTCAGAATGATACAATTATAGTTTTGGAAGCTAGAAAACTTCAGATATGATGGCATAGGTAAGAACAGAAGAGTGGAAAGTTCGGGTTCTCAGGAATACAGCAAATACAGTGTAGTTTGCTGGAATCACAAGAGAACAACTCTCAGAACTGAAAGGAACCTCACATAGCATCTAGACCAACCACCAATACTATTTTTAATGCCTTATAATAACTTACAAAAGTTAAAGAACTATTTGCTTATGTTACAGCTTATGTCCTTCCATAATGGGGTCTGCACCTAACCTAGAAGCACAGCAAAGTATTCAGATAAACAGGGAAATTTATTTTTATTTATTTATTTTTTTACCCAATCAGAATGTAAGTCTAACAAAATCTCCAAGGTCTGCTGAGGGTCAATATAAAAGTGCTTTCTGCCAATCCAGGAAATCTTTAAGGGGGACACATTCATCATGACTGCAAGCTCAGGATGGGAATGGGCATTACTGTAAGAATGCTAACGCTTGTGTGAGAGCAAGAGAAGGCTTTGAGACACTAATCCTACAAGGAACAGATCTGGGATGGGAAGAAAAGTCTATCCAGTAAGAAGAAAGTGAGGGGGGCCAATGAGAAGGGTAATGAATGAGAAACAGCAGGACGACAAAAAGCCCAGGGTTTGCAGTCCCTTGTGAGCATAAAATGCAGGAAGATCAGAGACCCTCTGTAGGGTCTTTTCAGAGATACTGGGATAAACTAGAGCCCAAGGAAAGGAGGAATGATGAGGAAAACATCTTCAGATTGAGACTGAGCAGAAGCGGTGGGGCCAAGACAGGCAGGGAAAGATCCCAGAGACCAAAACAAAGAAGGAAATAAGTTACCCTTGAACTACAAAGATGAAAGCTAAGAGTGAAGCATGAGTGTGCGTGTATCACGAAAGACACAAAAAGGAAGTCAGAGAGAAAAAGAGCGCAAGTGGGAGAGAGAGAGAAAAGGGAGACAGAGAAAGGAGAAAGAGAGGGAGAAGCTACATGGACACATACACATACAGAGAGTTAGAGAAATAGAGGGAGAAAGCCCGGAAGACAGACTCAGAGAGAGGCAGAGGCGGAGAGAAGCCGCCTGGAACACAGGCACCTGAAGAGCTGTGTGTTGTACAAAAGAATAAAGACAGAGACTAGATCAGTTACAACGGGTACTATACCATAACTTATCTCATCTGTGAATTCTGGACCCTATGATTATACGGGGTAGAGGCAACAGACGGTCCAAGAGGAGCAGCACGAGGGAAGGACAAATGGACGATCACATCCATCTCAGGTACAGGTTTTGAGAAGGACCACCCAGCTAGTCACCTGGCACATTATCCGGGGCCGATCAAACAGCTGGGGTAGGGGGTAACAACCTCCCCTACTCTGGTATCCTCTCACACAACAGCTGTTTTATAAGGGGTTAAGAGGAAAGAGAGAATGCAAGACTCCCCTAAAAAAGGAAGGAACTAAAGTTGACTGAATGGAAGTCAACAAACACTTATGGAGTCCAGTGTATGCGGTGGGAGTGGTGTTAGAGGTGTTGGGGCTAGAGAGAAAAATAAAACAAGGAGTGAGACGAGAAGCGGCTCACAGACTCAAGGTGGGATACCCACAGGTTCGCCAGAGGGTCAGACGTTGGTGCTTCAGTACAGCAGCGTGACTCCTTCCCTGCTACCCCCCTCCCCTGGCCATGCGACTAAACTAGTCAGCTGATGTCTAGGAAAACAATCAGTGAACCATTTTATGAGTTACGGTGGCAGGCGATAATGGATGCCAACATATTCATAACTTAACCAGAAGAGAAAGCCTGGGGCTGTGTGCAGTGACAGCAATCCTTCACTTACCTTAATTGCTGGGATTCCTACAAACGGTATTTTATACACTTTGCCTTTTTTTTTTTTTATTAAAGATTTTTATTTGTTTATTTCACAGACAGATCACAAGTAGGCAGAGAGAGAGAGAGAGAGGAGGAGGCAGGCTCCCTGCTGAGCAGAGAGCCCGATGCGGGACTCGATCCCAGGACTCTGGGATCATGACCTGAGCCGAAGGCAGAGGCTTTAACCACTGAGCCACCCAGGC